TGGCAAAATTGCTTATGTTCTGCAAGCACGGTTCTGATGCATTGAATGATCAAACATCTCCATATGAAACAAGATGATGATGCGTGCAATTGAAGAGTTGCTGCGTGAAACTGAATACAGCAAACTGTATTTGACAAATCATCTTTCTAATTTTCATCTTCTTTTATATTTTTGTAGAAGTTGTACCTCTGTAAGTCGAATTTCTAGGGACGAGAAAAAAATTCGACTTAGGGAGGTTTTGATTTTTGCAGGTTTTGAATTAAGGAAAAAATAATTCTTGCTGTGAGGATTAATGAAAAAATCGCAGGAAATTGTAAATGAAGAGATTCTGAGCCTAAACTTGCCTCTGGATGAGTTTTTACTGGGCTGAACTTGCAGGTAGGGGTTCATTTGCTATATTTGTCTTTCAATTCCTTCCGAGATGCATCAAATTATTTGTTTTAATCATTTTATCTCTCACATTTCACAGAAATCATAACCAGAAGGCCTCAGAAAATTTGAATTACAGATGTTTTAGAAAAAAAAAGAATTCGAGTTACGGAGGTTTTTAATGTATTGATTTTAAGGGAATTTGGACAGGGACTTGAAAAAAATTTGACTTATTCGACTTACAGAGGTTCGACTTATCAAGCTTCACCTTTATTATGCTGCTTCTCGCTACTGATTTAATAGCGCTTTATTGATTTGATGAATTATCGCAGGTCCATCCCGGTTCAATCACGGCAATGACGTTGCAAGCTACGGTGCTTATCCGGGTCCCCTTTCAGCCAATTATGGTTCAAACGATGGGTACCACAACGAACGGGTCCACGCACTGTATTCCAACTATCGCAGAAGACGATGATAAAAGGGCTTATTTTATGCTTCAAATACGAGTGTCGAAATTGTTTGTGAGTGTATTTTTCATGTGTGGATCACGCTTTTTTTTTGTCTTTGAAAAAGTTACCGATATCGTAGAACGATCAAAATGTCACTCACGAATTTGATTTGCCTCATCCGGTTGACGCATTTGTATGAGCATTCTGTTTTGTGATGGATTGTTTTGATCAAAAGAAGAAACAATGATGCGACCGTCATTTTCATTCGAAACTGCTGATTTCTGAAGTATGTACTGTATTGTACGAGTATTTTGTATTGATTTAATAAAAAAAATGCCGGTGCCGGCCCACAAGAATTTTGCAGGACTTGAATGCAATTCAATTTTCCCTCAACGCAGTTTCACAAAATTTTTTTTTGCCACCAGTACAGGACCTCAACATCTTCCAATGAGTTGTATTTGCGGCAGTATTCAGTATACGTAAGTGGCAGAATTGTGAAGAAATATTACAATTTTATTTTAGTTCGCATGACGCGAAAAATCTCGCAAAAATTTGAAAACGCGTCGAAGCATTATTATGGTGAGGTTATTCAACCTTTTTACTCAAAATAATTGCAGCTAATCTATTGAAGTCAGTGAAGTGGAATTGAAAATTGAAACCATTAAAAAATGCGGAAAAGCATCATTCAACTAAGCCCCCATTATTTCTTGTACTACTTTAGTTCCATAATACTTTTTTAAAGCCAGAACTTTGTTGCAATTGCTTCTCTCTCGCCAGAACAATACAATTGACTCCCGGAGAAAGCGTTTATATTTCCTCATCACATCCTGGTTCATTTTTCAGAATTTTACGAAGTGAAAATGTTTGCTTTTTTTAATCAGAGATTTCCTGCGTTATATGAAATTATAGAGCGAATATTACAATCTGAAAAAATTATAGTACAGTATATATAATTTTGAAGAATTTCCATTATATTTCTTGAGATAAAGAAAATATATTATACTGTAGAATAGTTCCAGAGAAAAATAACGCTGCTCATTTGCCGTGTAACAAGGATTTAACAATAGCCAAAATATCATGATGATGAGCAGATCTTTTGTCATGGAATTAACCGAGTTTTTTCTTCCACTAATATACTCCAACAAAGACCTCATGTTACCATGCAAGTACTGTGCAGTAATCATATCCAACTGATTTGAGTACAGCAGTTCAGTACTGACTCGGCGGGCTGGAAAATCATTGTATCCTTGCGCCCGATGCGAAAATAATGGAAAACACGAAGGAGAACTTTTCGGCAACTGACACAAGGTCATCATGGGACGTGAAGCACCGACTTGGATGACGGATCATCGCGTTCCGTTTCTCCTTCAAACCAAGATACAGCGAAGAATGCAAACGTTGTTGAGCATTATCCGCGGGATGATCAGAAAATGGATGAATGGATGAGAAGTCATTCGGCACTTGCTTCATTCCCCAGCAGTTTGCACATCGTCACGCTCATTTAATTCCTCGGCGATTGTTTCAGCGCTATAGCTCCAGAAACTGATCAAAAAAGTGCCCCCCTTCTCCGGAAAGTTAAATAATAAAAAGAAAATTGAATAGACATGTTTGGCGGTTGCAATTGTTGCACAAAAAATTAGATTTGAGGCTCTCAAGGCTTGAGGAATCGAGGGTTATTAGCCGAGAGAGAGAGAGAGAGGCAGAGACAGAAATGGCCAGTCAATGTCACAAACTTCATCTTTATTAAATCCATTTACTCTTCATTGATAAATTCAATTTTATTGAAAAATGTATCAGTATTCAATGAAGCAGCATATATGTATAATATGAGGCTTCAACTTTTGCCACCTCTATAGAGTGCAACAGAAAAATCCGAGAAAAATATTCCTTGTATCTAAATTCTAAAGCATAAAAACGTTGTGCCAGAGCTAAGAAAGACACAGAGCGCAACTATTGAAAAAAAAATTTCCCATGGTTACTTGTTTTTAGAATGCCAGACGCTTCTAGCGACTTTTTAATTCGTTAAATCAGAGAAAACGAAGGTAAAAGATACAATAAAAAAAAATTTATAGTTGCATCCGACTTTGCTCGATGACGCACTTTATGGTCCCTTATTATCGACTGAGTCGTCTGATGGGCCCTGGACGAAAAGGCCACGAAATAAAAGGTCGAAGTCATTTTCCATGCTGAAGACTTTTTTATGTTTATTTATTTTTGCTGATGAAGGATCACGTTGAGCGTGACGCATGCACGCGTCTCACGGACACGAAAATAAATTCATTTCCTTTATTCTGTGGGCAGCCTAAACACGCAAAGCGTTTTCTATCGTACTGGAACGTATTCGTTTTCAGGGTCGAGACCGGAAATGATGGACAACGTCGTTATATACTGTACTGTGTATGCTGGGTCAGCTCCTTTGTCGGATTCAGCTATACGAGACGATTTTTCTGTATCATATAGTAGATATACAATACTGCATATACACGAGTTGCCTCGGGTTCCCATCCATTTACACTCGCGATATGCTCGCGAGGAATGCGATTCATGCGCCGGATATGGACTAAGATCAAGGTCAACTGTGGTATTTTCTCTTAATTTTTTTTTCCTGTTTTCTTCCTGACAGAAGTCTTACTTTATGACGTGACTTGGCTCACGTTCGTCTTTTCTTGCTCGGATGCGCCAGGCGCACATCTTAATATATTTGTGTTGGCACTCGCTTTAAGCATGACATCTTGCCATGGCATTTTTAACGAGTGTCAGTCTACATTTGAAATGTTTTCGCAATTCTGATGAGTAAACCCTCATTGAATCCTAGTAGCTTCAGACTTTTAGAAGATTCTTTCAACTCCAGGTGGTCTTGTATTTATTGCCAGAATCTAGAAACACATTTTCTTTGAGGAAATGTGAGTATGAAGCGCAATGTTCCTGTGCGAAAATTATACATCAAGTGTAGGCAAGGAAAAATGTTGTAAACTGAGTTTTAAATATAAATATCGCCGGAATACTTTAGGATTAGGCTACCATAAAAATAAATTAAATGGAAGTTTAAATGACTCTTTTATCGTTCCAATTATTTCCAATTGTTCTTATTTTTGAATTTGTGTTCTGGCCACTCGCACATGAAATGAATGTTGAAGGGAAAGTTAATATACTTGTTCTTCTTCATCATACTAAGTTAATGTGCTGAATAATAATGCAAGGATATTGTTCTTCAGTTCCGTGCAGCTTTAAATTACTGACAAGCAACCTGGTGCACATAGTTACTGTACTGGAATTTAATTATTTAAAATTCCATTTCACGGTTTGCTAATAAGGATTTGATTTCATCAGTTTCCAATAACACATTTAATTTCTAGGCTGGAGTGATTAGACACCGAATACATATACAGTACTGTATATTTATTTCCGAGCTATGGGAAAGGAAAAATCCGATGTGCAAATTTACAATGTAGACGTATTATAAAGTACGGTACTTGCAATGAATTTTTCTGAGGATATTCAGTTCATATACGGTATATACGGTATATATATATCATATATACAGTACCAGTAGTTTCCTATAATCTGGTATATACTGTATATCATATACTGTATATACATAAAAAGCCTGCAAATTTTAAAAGCTTTTTCCATAAATGTCTTTTTAAAATTCTCATGGAATTTAATTGAAGACCCCTGTCGTTGAAATCCGCTGTGATAATGACATGTGCTATCGATAGGAAGGATCAGAATTTTAAAATACTGTAGTTTTCAGAGTTTTTTTTACAGCCATACGATGCGTTTTTGACCATCAGAAACAACGAAAAAATTTCACGTTTTTATATAAACTTCAAAATTCAATGTTATGCCGTAATTTGCTTTAAAGCAGAGGAGCTTTTCGAAAATTTCCATGGATCATCATCGAAGTCTGTGATAAAATTATCCATTATTCCCACGAGAAAGGCGTAATTATTTATATGCAGATAACAGATCACTTGACACCTTTACATCCGAGAGGGAGCAGTGAAAAAACGTGCAATGGATCGTTTCAGAGGCATTTCAAAATTTGTTAGACCCATTTCTTTCACCAGCAATAACAGCTTTCAAATTACCGTGTATATATTTTTGGCGTGTGTTTTCGGAGCGGGTTATTTTCTTGGGCATGAATTTGTGTCACACAATAAAGCGTTATTCCTTGATGATGGACAAATAACCTCGCAGCTCGGTGAAAGGCTGACGGATGAAAAAAATTTCTCCGTCGACGTCAGAGTTGAGTGGTATGCGAAACCTTTTTTTTTTTTAATGATAGCCGTTTTTCAAATATACTCTTAAATTTTTCTGCGAAGTTCTGAAGCAAAATTGAAGACACTGAAAATGGGGGAAAATCGGATTTTCTTCGTGGACGTGAGTCACACCTCGGAACCCCTCGACTTGTCGTTTTATTCCGCATGTGCCATGGAATCGACAGCTCGGAAAAATCCGGGAAGAATTGTCCAATTTTTCGTCAGAACACAACGAAATCTAAAGCTTAACAAATTTTCGAAGGTTCTAGAAACTTTCGACAACCTGCAAATCGGAATGCTACCTGTGAATGATTTGATCGTTCCAGCCTGGGATCGTATCGGAGGACAAGTACGGGACATTCACCAAGGAGGAAATTACTGGTATTTACAGAACATGATACATTTCTATTTTATCTACGCTTATTGGATTTTTCATACTCTTAGTGTATCATTATTCTCATCGTCTGTCAGGTGGGGAGTGAATCTCAGTGACATAGTGCGACTGCTCATTCTCTGGAAGTACGGTGGATTTTACTTAGATGCCGATATAATTTCCCTGAAGCCTTTAGATGGTTTGGAGAATTCCGTGGGATGTCAGTATGCGGAAGACAACCGTTGCAAAAGGGTAAATTTAGGCATTATATTCGTCGAAAAGCACCATCCTATGGTTCAGGGACTGTTGAAAATTTATAATGAAGTCAATTTGACGAAGTGGAGGAATATCCCATTTGCGAAAGGAAATCATATCCTGAACTCTTTCATCAATGAGGAGTGTGACTACGCCCAGCCCTCGACTGCGTCTTATTCAACCCCAGACTTCGCGCTCAATTTCACACAGTATTCTTATCCTCCGAAAGTTTGCTTGGCACGCCTGCATTTGCGTATTTTGGCGAAGGAAGTGTTTTATCCGTTGGCACCGGGTTACACGCATTATTATTTTTTAGCAGAGAAAAAGAAATGGGTTACAAGTAGAATTCGCGAATCTTCACCGGTTCTAATCCATTATTATTCGTCCAACACCAAGTTGTGGTTTGCGAACAGTAGTGTCGACAGAAAATCGGCGTATTTCTCCTTGGCAAGAAAATATTGCCCTCTTGTTTTCAGAGAAACAATCAGAGATGACGTTGGGCTTAAACTGTGATTTTCAATTGATACTGGGAAAATTATAGCAAGTATTTTTCGATTTCCAAGGTATAGTTTTGTGCGCATTTTCTCTCGAAACGATTTAGTACTGTACCATTCATTTTCATATCCAGTACGGTAGTTCGACTTTAGACCCATGTATTGAGCGCTGTGAGGACTTATTGCTGAGCTCTGTGCAAACGGGGATGCGATCATAAGTATCCGGCATCATCCGTTTCTCTGTTACTTGTGTGAGTTATGGGTTGAAGTTGAACCCTCGTGTTGGGCGAGTGAATATTCTGTGTGACACTTGCAGCATCATCAAGTTTTTTCTTGAAGTGTCTTAACATGTTTTGCAACGTGATAGTGGTGAGATTTCGGCTGGTAGCGTGATGTTTTTCTGCCCGACTTCCGTTTGCAGATCGATTTTATTTGAGCACCGAGTGCCATGAGGCATGGATATTCGGTGTTTCCCAACCGAAAAGCAGACTTTCGTCACGGTGGATAGAGCTCGCTGGCAGTGGGAGATAACCGTTCTTTGTGACATAGACGTGAAATCCGTACTTCTTCGCGAATGCCCGGATCACCTCGAAGGCTTGTTCGAGATCGGTTATATTGTTTGTCCTGAGACGGAGAAAGAAGATGGCCGTCAATCGAACCCGCTGCAAGCTGCTGTGGATCCGTCGAAGTGGGAAAATACGCAGTTTTGCAAAGAATCGCAGAAGAAGCCGTTGGAATACGTTTTTTCAATAATGTTCGCGGCGAAAACTTCGGGTACATTTAAAGCTGAAGTAGAAGTCATGTGTCGCGACGGCTCCGTGAAGACTATCTGGCTGGAAGCAGACATCACTGGGCGAAGACCAGATTTGGATGTGCAAGTCGTAAAATCTCTCCTCTCGAAACATGCACTTCCTCAGAGTATTTACGAGCGAAGAAGAATTGATCGTGCATCAGATAGTGACCGTCGCCTTTTGGATGATTATTCTCTGCAGAATACTTCCGTGCCCACCATATTGGATATTCTTCAGATAGATCGTGGCACCTTGTCTGACAGTGATTTGCTGAAGGCATGCCTGCATTGTTTCCTTTACGTTGAGGAGGTAACGCTGATTCGGATGATCATGAGGTTTTCGGGCAATACGACGTTGGCGATTACAGAATCTTTCTTAAGCGAGAAAGGTGGAGGTCTGCATATTCGCCAAGGCGGAAACATTTACGGTATTATCGACGTTGCTGGGATAAAAGACGAATCCACTGAAGCTCAAGTGTTCCATTCTCTTGCCAGCATTGCTCATTTTCAGATTTTTACTGGCACCAGAATTACTGCCATCGTAAGAATGCATGATTTGTATGGTTTTGATTGTGCTGTTGTACGTTTCTTTTCGCATTGATTTCAGTTCGAAGGAGAGCTTGTTGAAAAACAGGAGCGTTTAGCGATTGTTTCGTTCGATTCTGAAACCACTTCAAAACACGGACTACGAGGTGGAATTTGCTTAGAGGCATTTGTGTCTTTTCTACCAAATCGGTTACCATTTTGTGAGAAGCACGGAGCAGTGGATGCGCTCAAAAATGTCCCCCTGGATCAAAAATCAGTGGAAGAGCGAATTCGATTATTTGATTCACAAAAGGACTCATCGGGTTTTAAATCTGTATGTACCTTTCATAGACGAAGATTTTCCCTTTTTTTTTCTAAATTGCGATGATATTTTTCTCAGTTGCGAAGTGGAGTTATTGTGGATGATTACCAAGCGAAAGCGTTGCGAGCGATTTTGTCTCCACCTGCGGTCGACATACCTGCTATACTAATTACTGGTGAGTCTTTAGTTATTTGACTCATATCTTTATTAAATTCTTAGTTTTCATTCAAAATTTAACCGGATATTTTCCCAACTTGACTTTTGGGTATTATGTCCATTTAGAAGTGATCACCTCTTGTGAGAGTTCGCTTCTATTCAAAAGATTTTTTTCTGTAGGGCCGTATGGAACGGGAAAAACCTACACTTTGGGGACAGCTGCAATAGAAATATTGACGAGGCAGCCAGAATCAAGAATTTTGATCTGCACGCAGTCGAACAGTGCCGCAGACCTTTATGTTATTCGATTCTTTTCGAAGCTGCAGGCCGAAGAGAGGAGATGGTTTTCACCTTTTCGAGTTTATTACATAGGTCGTCGCCTCAATTCAATTCCACCGGAAGTGCTTGAAGCAAGTATTGAAGATTTGCAGGATGTGACATGTTCAAAACATTTTCTTTTTCCTTCTAGTATTGTAATCTGAAGCCAAATTCGAGCACCCTCGTCCGACCACAGTTGGAAGATATACTGTCTAGAAGAGTCGTCATCACGACGTGTTCGACCGCAAGGTTGCTGATTGATGCTGGTGTACGCCGAGGTGATATAAACTTAATAATCTTATTTTTGATGAGTATTTTTTCTGACGATTTTGCTTTTCGTAGACTTCTTCACGCATATTTTTCTGGACGAAGCTGGTCAAGCTCTTGTATCTGAAGCATTGATTCCACTGACACTTTGTTCGTCGAACACCCGTGTCATTCTTGCTGGTGACCCTAAGCAGGTGATGCTTTTATCTTCTTGGATGAATACTTTAGTGAAGTGCTGTAATGTAGTTCACATATTTCGATGCAGTACGGATGTCTCATGCAACATGCTACATTTCGGAAATTCGAGGATACCTTCATTTTGTGATTCCCAACGACTCTTTTAATTCCAGATGTGTTCGAAGGTATATTCAAAAATGGGAAAATCATTCCGCTTTGATAAATCTTTGCTGGAGTATTTGGCTCCATTTTATCCGGATAACCATCCATGCGTCACTAACCTAACCGTCCAACACAGAACGGATACTTCATTGTATACAGTAAGAGACATATCCATGAGGAAGATACTGTGTAGATTTCAACGTATTTTTTTGTGCAGGTTTTTGGTCGAGCTTTCTATCCGGGTGAGATCATGGAATTACCGCAAGAGCTTCGACGCCGAGGCACGAAAATTCACTTCTATCACTTGGGCGATGCCCACGAGGTCGATGAAGACGGTTACTCATACAACCGTGCCCAGGTTAGAGATTAGGGGTGAGGATTTTGTTTTTGGGACAGGATTAATAATTCTTTCCCCAGACTTTCTATGCCGAAGCTATTGTTCGCGAATTGAAGGAAAGTGATGGTGCAGACAGTGTCGCTGTGATTACTCCTACACGTACGCAGATTTCTTTCACTAGAAACCATTTTCGTAACGTTGGATTGGGAGACGTAACTGTTGACAGCGTTGCTGGTTTTCAGGGTATGTTTCTGAGTTCTATGTTTTTTTTTTCACATTGGTCTCTCTCTCTCTCTCTGGATACAAATATCCAGAGGTCATGCGCGAATTCTTTCATTTGGTAGGAATTGAGTTCAAGCACATCGTGCTCTTGATGGTGATGTCGTTCAGAGGAAGCGGATTGGAATGGATTGCAGACACTGAAAGAGTCCCAGAATCAGATGTACACATGACTGTGACTGCATGTACACGAGCAGTGCAATCGGTGTCAATTATTGGAAATGCATTTTACCTCTGCTTAACTCGACACACAGGACGGTATGACTTTAAATGGGATCTAAATTTATCATGAGTTTTTTTTTGTTTTTCTACAAAAATGCGCTTCAATGGTGGATTGTTTTCTTCGCCAGGTTGTGGAGAACAATATTAGAGTATTGTTTCGAATGCGACACAGTGGTCGGAGTGCTTCGGAATACCTTCAAGAATGAAATAATGTCTTACGAGCACAGCAAAAAGTACAATTGGAACGTAAAAGCTGCCGAATTTTGCCCACAACAACGCTATTCACTTCTGCGACCACGTCCGCCAGTCGCTCAGAATTTTTTAGTTAATCCGAATGCATATGGATACGGTGCACTGCAAGTACCGCGTTACGTTCTGCCGCCCATTTATCCTCCGAGCAGTGCTATTCATTCCGCGGGTATCCGTGGATTCCCTCCGACGGGATATCCGTTTGGTGACTATGCTTCAGCTGAAGCAATGATGCGTGCGCAGTTATCCGCTCTTGCTCTAAATCCGTCGTGGAATCAGTTTTCGCCTTAGGCTGTGTTCTACTTCGGTGCTGCGTTCGGATTCAAACCCCAATTTCCTGCTTCAAGTGATCTGATGAATCCGCTCATTTCTCCGACCCCTGTGACGAGGCGATTCATGCCAATAATTCAGGAGTATCCGACGATTCTTCGAGTGGGTCGTATTCAAGATTTTCGCGTTTCGTCGATGACGTAGATTCCTAAAGAAGCCCTTCTGCACCCGAGGAGATCTCTGGAGATGCAATCGTCGTCTGAGCGCTTTGATGAAAGACGTCGACACTCGACAGTCACGTATTACGTGTGACAGGATTGAAAGTGAAGTCGACGGAAATCTAAATAGCGTGGTCAACACCGTGGAATTCGTGATCATCGGTCAGTGACCGGCACATTTTTTAATGAAAAAATGCTCATATGACGACGCGAAGAGTGATCGTGGGACGTGATCTTGATTTTCTTGAATCTAATTTTTTCATCATTCATTGTGTGAGCATTCAACTGCGAAACCTGCCTTTGGTGTTGTGATCATTATTGTGAGGTTGGGCGTGAAATCGAGTGTATCTTTGAGCTTGAACGGGTTGTTCGATGCAGGACTGTATTTTAACGTATCACGCAGCAATTTCTCGGCAAAGTTTTACAGTTTCCCGGGGAACTCATTTTAATATTTTATCGTAAATGACGATTTGATTGCTTTGCTTCACGCGGTTGACAGAAGCTTTTGACCGAATATCGCTGCTTTGTTCTGCACTTTTCGTCGTTGGATTGAATGCACGGAAGATGCAACTTCAGTACAAAAAAAATATGTGGTTTCCTTCTGGAATCATGCGCGAATTCGACTCTTGTTTCCTGTATCTGCACTGGATTATACCATTTCTTTCGGAGGATTGAGATTACGTTTACTTCTCGATGTGTGTCGTAAGTGAATCCAGGAAATTCTGAAGTGTAAATCGAAGTGTTCATGCAATCGGTTGCGTCATGTGTGGATGATTTCAATATCAGCGAGTGGCCTGATTTCGTCCTCCTGCAAGTTTTCGCCTTCTTACCCTTGAAATCACTGTCGGCATGTGGACTGACCTGCACGAATTGGCATCGCGTTGCTGCAGACCCGACGCTGTGGCCGTTGCGAATGGAATTCGACCGATTTACAAACATGAACGACGTCGATGCCTTATTGAAAGTGGGAGGAGGGAATTTAGAATTCATTTCCTTGCGTTTGGTGATGGACATCAATGGGATGTTCGAAATGATAGCTTCTGGATGTCCAAATCTTCATGCTCTGGAATTGGATCATTGTCCGAGCCCGAGTGAGATGAATCTAAGCGCTTTGAGTCGAATCTCGGGTGGTTGCAAAAACCTGCGTTGTTTTGCCTTGCGGAACATGACGCTCGATGAAGAATCCATGTCAGCATTTACTGTTGTTGCAAAGGAGTTCGAGTTCCTGAGTCACGTAGTTCTCTTCAAATGCTTTGGAATATCGCCTTCGGCTATTATCCGTCTCGTGTCGGATTTGGATCATCTGACTCACTTGGACATTGAACATTTGGAACTCGACGTGAGGTCTTTGGAAACGGTAGCGAGTCGAATTGGACGCACTATCAAAGCGTTTTACTTTTCTGTACCGGTGGCCAGTGATTTACACGTGTTGCGTTGGCTCGAAAATCTTGAAGCTCTCGGGATCCATGTGTTCGCAGGCGATTCTCATACCGAAGACGATTTCGGAATTCACATTCAGAGGTTTAGAAGTTTAAGGGTGCTGCGTTTTACAAATTTGTTTGCACCCGTTCAAGTTCGAGACCTGCTGACTGCCCAATTATTTCCAAAGCTGGAACATTTAAGCATGTTCAACTGCGCCCCTTTGTCGCAGCCACACCTATCGGGAATCGTAAGGTTTGTACATTTTGTCAATAATTTTTGGTTTCATACGCATTACTGTGTTAAAGTTTCTTGACATACAATTTTTACTATCGATAACAGTATTTTTATATACAGTATCAAATTGCATTGCGTGAGATTTGTAGCCTTCGGTGTAAAATTTTCGTGTTGATCGTGTTGGGTTTTTTTTTCAGATGTCATAAAAATCTGAGACACTTGTGTCTAGATTTCCGTTTATCGGATTCCGTTGTGGAAGTTTTGGCTGACGTTTGCAAGCAACTCACATTTTTATACTTCAAATTTTCTGCCAGTGCATCTTGTAGATCATTGCAATTACTGGATGCCAAAAACTTGCCAAAGCTGGGCTATTTATACGTGGATGATTCTAAGAATATCCCGACGGAATTTTTATCCCAATTGGTCGAACAACGACCTGACGTTCGCATAATTTGCTACGGTCGTACGTTCTTTCATTACCCCAAGGACCAGCCAATTCTAAAACGCATGATGAACGAGATCTTGCTTTTCAATCCCTATCTCGACTTGATATCTGTGAAGTGACTCGTTTTCTCCGGTGCTTCGAGGAAATCAACTGCTTTGATATTCACGAAACGAAAACTGCGAGAATGCGGTTACCTTAGTCATCATATTTTGGACGCCATGTATTGGAAACTAATTACTTATGTTCCGTGATAGTAAGTCCCCTTCTCAAATTCTTACGTGATTTATGAACCTGAGCCGGGTGAACGAATATTGTGTTATGATTTTCCTCTTTATTCTCATCAGAGATTCACTTTTTTGTTGCAGGTTATTCATTTAATTGGGAAGATGTCGCGCATTATCCGTTTGAAACGACGGTTGGAAGATGAACCTTCCCCAGTGATGTTTTTATCTTCGAAACGTGCGCGTCGTGAGTCGATTCCGATGAAGTATGCTGGTTCCGTTGATTCCGCTGGGACCCCGATTGGGAAAAAGGCTTCTGAAACTGCGCCGGAATCTCGAAAAAGTTCAAAACCTGTTAACAACTCCGCGATTAGCTTGAAGCGTGTCCTGGACTCCGAAACAAACTACCCGGAGGAATTGATTGCGAAAAAATCTCGCGAAGTGGTCGTGTATGACGTCGTATTAAGCACCGATGACGATGTCATTGCGTGTAATGGAGTCGCCATGGACGCTAGCTCTACACCGATTGAAGTTGCCATGGCAAAGAAGGAACAACAAGCCTTTGTATACGATTTTTACGTTGTTCCGGATTCCGGCGTGGAGTATTGCGACGAAGTTGAGCTTTACCTAGACTCGGGTCCGTTTGTAGATGACGACAAAATGTGGTGCGGTGATTATCGGAATGGCGAAAACGTTGCTGATGATGATGATGATTCCAATGCGGAAGACAACCCGAGAAACGAGTATCCTGATGACGAGGATGATCATGATGAAGAAGACGATGACAATTATTTCTGCGCAGAGGTTGAAGGAGAGTTGCGAGACTTCGAAAGACTCACCATGGGGGCGTTAGGAGATTTTGAAAGCGAGGACGATTGTTCGGGGGAATACGAAGAGGAGGAGGAAAATGAATGTCTGACTTCCCCGACGGGTTATAACGCGTTCAAGGCACGAGTTTTAAAAGAGCTACGGGAAGAACATTTAGCTCAAGCTGAGGAATCGGACGCAGATGACGAATCCGATTGATTTCCCATTTACAAATGTTTAAATATGTTTGTGCATTAGACCGTGTGTTTCCATTGGCTGATTGTGGTGATCGAAGTAATCTACCGTTCCCGAATTCCTGTGGCATTTGATAAACGATTTCAAAATGAACTTGAGGATGTTCATTACACTGTGAGGCCCGAAGGGTTGATTAATTTTGGAGCTAATATTTTACAGATTCAAATCGCTTATATTTGTTCAAATGTCTATTTGTAAGCGACCCGCAGGGACGCGGGAAGTCCTCCTTGGTCTTCTGGATGATATAGAACTGATCATAAAGTGAGCGAAATTTTATACCTACCGTTTTCCCCTTCTTTTGATCCAAATTTCACTTTTCAGGGAGATGATAGAAGGCGCCATTGGTGGACTGCAAGGCCAACGTGCGTTTAGCGTCGATCAGAAGATGTTGACTGATTTGCTAATTACGAAACAGAATGATTTGAAACGGGGATTACAAGTAATTTGACTTGTGTTTGGATGTTGGCCAGCTTCAGAAACTCAATACCATATTGTTCTTTCTAGTTGGCTGCGGAGCAAGCCGTGATAGAGGAGAAAATCACGATTGTACAAGCTCAGGTGGACAAGCAGCACGAGGAAATTCGGCTTCTTCAGACCAGATTAAAAGATGCCGAGCATGCCTTGGTATGTTGCGAAATGCATTTTGCTGGAATATTTTGTTCGAGTCAATATGTGTGATGTTTTTGCATGATCCAGGCGACGGCAATTTTCCAAGCGAAACAGAAGCTAGCTTCAATTCAAAAGGCCAACAAGCGGCCCGTCAGTTCCGAGGATTTGATAAAATATGCTCACAGAATCAGTTGTACGAATGCGGTTCAAGCCCCTCTGAATTGGCAGCAGGGAGATCCTAGGAGACCCTATCCAACTGGTTTGTTCCATTCCATCGATAATTTACGTCACTGTCTTACTGGCATTGTAATTACCGTATACCAGAGGCGTAAGTGTTCTAAGAACTTGGAAGTAAATCTACCGTCTCTTTTTGATTGGTATTTTATCTCTTCATATTTTTATAAGTTTTTGACCGATTCATATGATTTCCAGACATCGAAATGCGTTGTGGATTCTTGGGAAGAACCGGAGAGCTTCCTCTGCAATATCCACCTGGCACTCCGATGGGCCTGGGGTTAGACGCTTTTGGAGGAGTAAAATTTCCCACGCCTCCGTTGCCTACAATAGGAGTCGGAGGTACGTTTTTTATATCTTTTATTCTTTACGTTTTGTTCGAGAAATTTCTTCTTTTTTTGTTGCAAGATGTGGGAGTTCCTGGAGGTGCCGGTGGATTTGGGTCGAATTATCCATGGAATTCGTCTGATATACATTTGGCGATGGGAAAGGGAGATATGAAATCTCGCGATAATGCCGAAGACGTCGAAGTTATGTCTACTGACTCGTCGAGTTCAAGTTCAAGTGATTCTCAGTAATCATGAGGTTCTCCGTGAAAAGTGTGATTATCATTCCTGAAAATTTCTTTTTTATGTTGAATGTAAAAAAAAAACTCAAATTGAATGAATCAACTGTCGTACTCCGTTCGTCGAAATGATGACAAATCTTTATTTTTGAAAATGTCCGTGATTGTGTCAAGTTGCAGTGTCGTGATGATCGCTTCGCGATGTCCTGTGAGCACAAGCGTGAAAAAAGCGAAGCTTCTGACACCCTGCGCGGTTGTGATCGGACAGGAACGAAATGTGGCTTTTATTGTTGCCCGGGTTTTACGCGGGGCTCTGAAGATACGGTACCTTCTTTTGGGTGGAGCTCTGGGTGGTGGCTACCAACTGCAAAAGGTTTGTCTAGTGTAAATCTTTTTTTTTCTTCATTAAGAAATCATTTTTCCGAGTGATGCAGATCGATTAATCATATGTAAATATGTAATTGCTGTTATTCAAATAAATACATGGCAGGTATTCTCTATTTGTGATGTCACACAAAGATAATTCGAATTTTGAAATGAGAGGTAAAGTAAAACACTGGAACATTTGAGGATTGCTTGTCCTACAGTATTTTACACGCAATTTACCACTACAGCATAAATTCACCTACATAAGTTCGACATGATTTTAAACTATTTATTTCACATCCTCTGTTACAAGTAATCCAGGGCCAATTGATATCCGTTTCAGTGTTCGCAGTACTTCGTTTACAGAAATTGCAGTTGTATGAATCCTTCTCAGAAGCTTTCCTGACACGTTTGAGAACATTTGAAACTTATCAGGGGGTCGAGTCAAAGGAAGAAGGGGAGGAGTGGAATGTATTCATGTTTTAAATGGCGGGGAACTTATTTTTCAAGTAAAAATCCTATGCAAAGCTAATCGAAATGATCTATTCGAAGATGATTAAAACTACCGTGCTGCACTTCAGTTTGATAAAGCAACGTCTCCCAGCACTTCTTTCTGTATTCAAGCAGATGAATTACGATTTATTAGAGAAGCCTGGAGCTAACGTGAAGGACTTTCCTTTAACGAAACGCTGAAATTCTGCTAAAAAAATTTTACGTCTAATTGATTAAAGTTGAACCACAGTAAAAAAGAATATATATCAAGGAAGTGTGTCACTTCTGCGTTGGACAACTCGTAAGTCCACTACTTCAAACGTTTCTGAAAAGCACCCTCGTATGTGGAGCTTATATTTTCCTGAAGAATTTATGGAACAGATTGAATTGCTGATGAAATTCATAGTTCCAAAAAAATGTAATCCCTTGAATATCATTCTGCATAAAAATGTGCTTTTCAAGACTTTTGACAGTTGGAGAGAAAAGGTTCCGGACCTAAAATGGGTCGAAGATTATTTCCCGGATGCATCGAATTTGGACAAGTTTCGGGGTACCATGCTAACCTTTCGAGACCGGCTCTCGGAAGGAATCGAAGAAATCCAACTAGGTGTGTTGTATAATGACATTCGGTTTTTAGGTAGAAGTTGAACAACTGCCTTGTGTTTTTCATAATCAAATGACGTTCTGAAGATCCTAAACTAAAGGCGATGGGCATAGAGACCTACAACGACCTGAAATCTTGGTTCGATCATCACGTCAATGAAGCCCTTCGGAAAGCGGAAGAGCGGAAAGAGCTTGCTTTAGAGGTCAGGCGGAAATCTGAAGTTATCCCGGTTACCGGACGATTTTCTGCGGGTCAAGATTCCCCACTCGGTTTCGCCACCGATTTATCCGCTACCGAAGGTTCGTCGAAGGTTTCCTGAAAATCTGTATTGCAATTGGCAGTGCAGCGTTTGCGACAAATTTTTATTTTTATTTTTGAAAATCTCCTCATAGAAATGGGAGTACAGTACTTCATATTTTCGAATGGACTTTTTAATTTAGCTACCAGGGAAGATTCGAATTCTGCTGACGAACATAGCCTATTGAAAATGATTCGTTTCGCAGTCGAAATTTTTGTGACGTCCATGAGGAAAAATGTACGTGTCAACGCAAGATTTTCTGTGTACACAAGCATTACGTATGTGTGTTCGTCTATTCTGCAAAAATGTGTACAGTGTATTGCTGCCAATCGCAATGCAAATGCCTTTTGGTAAATTTTTAGAATCGAGCGATCCTTCTGTCTTCGTCCGCATGTTTTTTGGCAGGAGACTTTCGGGAGTACGAGTCGCCGTTTAAGTTTGGCTTGAGCGTGAAGGCCGCATCGGCGGATAATGCGGAAGAAAGCAGAAGGATCGGTCAGTTGTTTCTGTGTTTCCCTGTCGTGAAGATTTTAATTTCCCTGGTTTTTTTTTCTTTCAGCGGATTTGCGAGAAAAGCTGCAGAAGAAGGAAGGCGAAGTAATGCAAGTACAGTTGAAGTACCAACGGGAACTCGAGAAAATAGAGCGGGAAAACCGGGAATTGCGGAAACAGCTAATGTTGTCCGCGCGAGAGAAAGTGTCCAACAAGAAAATCAAGGTGAGTCTGACCAGTGAAAAAACACTTATTGTCGGATTTTCCTACGTTTCTGCAGGATATTTGGTCATTCACGTTGCGTTAATGATCAAAGAATTACTGTTTTTTCCTATTGGTGTATTTTTTTTTTACTTCGTGAGTGTGCGTATTAATTAGGTTTTTTTTCTTTCAGAAATCTCTAATTGATATGTATTCCGAGGTTTTAGACGAACTCAGCGGTTACGATTCGAGCTATAATACGCAAGATCATTTGCCTAGAGTGGTTGTGGTTGGCGATCAGAGCTCAGGAAAAACGTCTGTACTCGAGATGATCGCTCAAGCAAGGATTTTCCCGAGGTAAAATTACAATACTTTATTTATTTAAAACACAGTACTTCATTTTCAAAGCGTGGATTGTCGGGTTTCCGCGCGGCATGAGGTTTTGGGGGAAATAGGGTACCTTAGAATTTTATGCACCAGTGGAGAGGTCGTTTTTGATTCATCCTCAGAATTTAATGTGGTTTTGCAGAGATCATCAAAACCAGATGAAACATTCCGTCACTCGAGTTCCCTTTTCCTGTTCCATCTATGCTTTCTTGTCAAGTTTCGCTGTAATCTTCTGTAATTACTGTATTTTCTTCGAAGTCTGGGTGTTACTGCATTTATTTGAAGATCTACCCACCTAAATACACTGCGGTTTCGTGCTGACTCCAAAAAGTTGGCTAGACGTTGATAAATTACTACATACATTTTTGGCTATTTGGGTTATTTCGTTGTTCCGAACAAGAAAAGACGAATTGAGTTTTCGCCGGGTGCCTTCTCATTTCGTTAGCCAAATCTTCAATTTTCGGAAATACTGCGTGTACACAGTGTATGGTACTTCTAATGAACAGGGGAGCTGGAGAAATGATGACGCGTGCTCCTGTTCAAGTCACTTTGAGCGAAGGCCCGTATCATGTCGCGCAGTTCAAAGATTCCGACAGAGAGTTCGATTTGACGAAAGAGTCTGATTTGGCGGATCTTCGGCGAGAGGTATGAGCCTTTTTATATTGACGTGCAACGGGGTTTAATTTTTGTCATTCCGCTAGGTGGAATTGAGAATGATCAACAGCGTTCGCGGAGGGAAAACCGTGAGTAACGAAGTGATTTCCATGACGGTCAAAGGACCCGGTTTACAGCGAATGGTACTTGTTGACCTGCCCGGCATTATTAGTGTGAGTCATTTTTTGAACCCGTTGTTTTAATTCGAACGCCATGTTCACCAATAAGTTTCCCTAAAATATTTCAAGATTTTTTTTTCTTATTTTCTCCCCAGACTCAAACGAATGAAATGGCGGCAGATACTAGGGACTCGATCCGCCAAATGTCACAGACGTTCATGTCGAATCCCAACGCCATAATTCTGTGCATTCAAGATGGATCCGTTGATGCTGAAAGAAGTAATGTTACTGGTGAGTGTTCTTGGTAATCTTTCCCCTTTTCTCGGATTGTTTCCCCAAATCTTTCGATTTTGCAGATCTTGTTTCGCAAATGGATCCTTTGGGTAAGCGCACGATATTTGTTTTGACGAAGGTAGATCTTGCCGAAGAAAATCTTGCTAATCCGAAAAGGGTAAGTCCAGATCTCCTCGAGTAAAATTGTCATTTTCTGTACTGAACTAATTTTTTCCCCACTCCGTAGGTCAAGAAGATTTTATCCGGTTCATTATTCCCGATGAAAGCACTAGGATACTTTGCCGTTGTTACTGGACGTGGTAACAAGAACGATTCTATATCGGACATCAAAAACTATGAAGAGAAATTTTTTAGGGATTCGCAAATATTTAGGTACTGGATATTGCACATTTGACTGGAAACAATTTTCTGTAATATGATTGATCTTCTATGCCACGTAGGCATGGAATAGTGAATTCGACGCAGTTGACGACGAGGAACTTGAGTTTTGCTGTCAGTGAGTTGTTCTGGAAAATGGTTCGAGAAACCGTTGAGCAGCAAGCTGATGCATTTAAAGCTTCGAGATTCAATCTGGAAACCGAGTGGCGGCACAACTTTCCAAGGTTGAATCCTTTTTTCCGTTGTGTTTGAGTTATGTATTTGATTTGAATTTTATTGTGATTTTCCAGATTGAGGGAATTGGATAGAGATGAACTCTTTGAAAAGGCAAGGGGCGAAATCCTGGACGAAGTTGTCGCACTTGGCCAGTTGTCAGCAAAAGAATGGGAAGAAATGCTGAGCAAGAAAATATGGTCTCGGGTAGCTCCGTATGTGTTCGACAGTATTTATCTTCCAGCTGCCGCCAGCACGAATAACGCCGGTATGCTTGCTATCCGTGATCGCGAACATTTTTAGGACAAAAATTCAAACTTAATTGTCGCTTTAGGAACATTTAATACCACCGTGGATATCAAGCTGAAGGAATGGGCCGAGCGACTATTGCCCGAAAAATGCGTTGAAGTTGGATGGGAAACCTTGCGAGAAGGGTTTTCTAGTCTCATCGAAAAGACCAAAGGTGCGAAAGACCACGATGCCATTTTCGACGTATTGAAGCAGGCCGTGGTTGAAGAAGCTTGTGGCAGACATCATTGGGAAGATAAGGTACTTACGCTCGCTGTAAACGTGATGTACGAGGGAGATCAGTATACAATTTTAGTCATGAAAATTTTTATGGCTTTTATATGCTCGCTCTTAATAGAAATACGGCGGTCACGTAAAAGTTTATTTTTGATTCCCCATGGATTCCTGCTTCTGTTCAAGGCATGAACTATCTACCCGCAGTTTTCAACTAGGGCGAACAAAGGGCTGTGGTATTATTTCTCTGGTCATTTGGTGTGGTTATCAGCACACAGCACGCTTCTACTTGTTGAAGCACTGTCCTTCTGTTGTGATGCTGTATAAGCTTTGATGGTTAGTGTGTCGCAGTCAGCTTTGTTATCTGACTGTGACGCACTAACCAAAGAAATCAAATCAGCGCTCTGTTCTTGCTTTTGCCCTCCGCTGGTGAACAGGAACTCGGAAAATTATGCTGCCGAAAAAAATATTAAAAATATTTTCATCTTTCAATCGCTAAACATGCAGAACTGTAATTTCCGTTCTACAGGCAGAAGAGGTTTTGCGAGTTATTCAATTAAATACTTTGGAAGATCGAGCGGTAGCTGAGAAGCATCAATGGGACGAAGCCGTGAAATTTCTCGAAATGTCGCTTGGAGAACGGTTACAGGTAAGTACATCGAAATTCTAATTCGCAACACCATTAACCCGAGATTCAATCCTGTATCCTGAAGCAAACGGAAGATATATTGAAAGAAATGACTGGACCGGGAGCGTGGGAGCGTTGGGTTTACTGGAAGTACGCAAACGCGGATCAAGGCATTCGTCGCCAAACGAGGAGCGAACTAGAACGCCTTATTCGTTCCGACGATGTAAGTCAATATTTTTTCGAGCTTCCTGAAAGCCGAACCTTTTCAGGTCAAATTTCAATGGACCAACAAAAAAAGAATTTGCGTTGGGGAGGTTTCGAGTGAGGGGAAAAGGCCTTTTTTTCGTTGTGGGAAAGATAGGAAAATTGCTGTGATATTCTGGGCCCTCAATTGCTTTAAAAATGAGTTAAAGGATGCTGAACTTAGTGGCAAGGGCACATTTAGTCTTCCTTCTTTCAAAATACAGTATATCAAGTTACACTTTTATAACTTTTCCCTTTCCTGTGTCAAGAAAGTACAATACCCAAAATGCCCCAGAAAATTCGAGTTGTGGAGGTTTGAAAGGGAAAGCCTTCAAGTTAGGGAGGTTTTTAATGCCTGGTTTCTAAAGGAATTCAGAGGGTGATTTTTAAAAATCGACTTAGAGAGATTTGAGTTATTAAAACCAATGGTGCGCAAAAAATAAAATTTACCGGTGGGAAATCTTGCAGCCGTATATGTATATCTCGACATTTTTCATCGTCATCATCACGTTTTATCCTAGGAACACGCGCCAATGTTGTCTTACGAAGAGTTGACAACGGTGAGAAAAAATCTACAGACCGTGAATGTGGATGTGGACAAAGACTTCATCAGGGAGACGTGGCGGCCTGTTTTCCGCCGCCATTTCCTGAAAAAGCGTCTACAGCGGGCGATTGACTGTCGGAAAGGCTTCTACATGTACCACCAAGGTCTCGCGTGTGAGGTGAGGGAGAAGACTGTTTGCCTGACTTGTCAAGTTTCGATGGCTTGAGAAAGAGACGAGAAGCCGCAGTAATTACTGTACGGAGAAAATGATCGATGATTTTTTTTCTTGCAGCTTGACTGCAACGACGTCGTCCTGTTTTGGAGAATACAACAGATGCTGCGCGTGACTGTCAACGCTCTGCGGCAACAAGTTGTTAACCGGGAAGGTGATTATTCTCTCTGCCTTTTCGTGTTCATCACTGGTCAATTTATTAGCGATTAAACTTGATTTCTAGCCCGTCATCTTGAACGAGAAGTGAAAAGTGTTCTCGAAGACTTTAGTCAAGACTTTGAAAAGAAGCAGCACCTGCTTACCGGTCGGAGAGTTTCATTGGCGGAAGAACTGAGTAAGTTGGGAATTTTTTTTCGGTATTTCGCGTGAGTCGTGCTTCCAACAGACTAAAAAATCAGCTTCAAAATAGAGTACGGTAATTTCTTGGGAGCTAATGAGCGCGATTGAGAAATTTTGTCTTTTCCTAATTTTGAACTTAGTTTATTATTTCGTATCGCCGCGTATTGGAGCGACGAGAAGCTTCTGTTACTCTATTTATTTTGTTTCTAATAATTTTTCTATTTTATTTTTCTTACAGAAAAGGTCCGGCAAATCCAGGATAAATTGGAGGAGTTCATTCAAGCGCTAAGTCAAGAAAAGTGAACCCCACTTGGGCAGTCGCGTCGGTCTTACGATCGAAAGTGCAATTCGAGTGCGTTGAGAAGTTGATTCTTCTTAAAACGTTACAAAAAATGTTGATTTTGGTGTAATCGGCACATTTGTCGTTTGCGTTCAACGTTTTGTATTAGTTCCGCATTCAGCCGAGTGAGCCGCAGTAGTTCATCGCTTTCTTCCTTTCCCCTTCATCTACTTGTTCGGCGAGGGAGAGGTTTTTTGTTTTCGTGCCTGTTGAATTTTCCAATCAAACTTGTTGGCTTGTCCTCGGTTATTTTATTCCTTGGCTCCGCTGTGATACGTAATAAACGAAAGCTCGGTCTAGAAATTGTTTCGTTCCTTTATTTCATTTTACGAGTTTGATTTTATTGCGATTTAATGGCATTTTCTTACCGCAGGTAGGGGAACTGCAGTGTACGGAAGATGTAAGTCGGAGAAGCCTCACATCGTCACAATTCGCTCTGTTATTCAACAATAGCTCTGATAATGAGAACACTTGCGAATTCGACCTTCGCGTTGCTCAGTCAATTGCGGATCCTTTCGCAAAAAATGTAGTGATTCATGATCGGCACCGACTTGAACGCCGAAGACGGTTTCATCCGCGTGAATTGAGAATGATTTCTTAGCTTGCGCGAGAGAAGGAACGAGAAAATCTGCGAATGCAACAAAAAGGTCTGTGGTGATCACAATCACGCAGTATCCTCTTCTGATGGGAAAACATTTTGCGGTTCTTTTCTGACGAATGACAGTTTGTGATGCGGAATGTGTATTTGATGTGTTTGGATCGTTCGGCGGCTTTATATATATATATGGATGGAAAAAAAAGAACGAAATACTTTATGTACATCGAAATGAAAATCAGGAGTGTAAGATGTCTGTAAAGAGTTACAGAGACTCGTGTCGATCGCGGGGTTTTCTTTCGAGTGATGGACGAAGATGAAATGAGCAGAAACCGAAGGCCTGTTTATGAACAGTATTTGGTCAATATGAGCTCGTATGCCCTTCGTTTATTTTCCCACGGTGGCTTTTTTCTTGAGTGCTTCCCTGGATGAGTCTTTCCAGGATTCGTCTGCCGGCTGACGCGTCAGGTAAAGTAACTTATTGCTTTTCGGATCTGCGGTGAGTCTGGGGTTTATATATTGCGGATGTAACTTGATGACCGCCGTATCATCTTGAAATTCTTGACTGTCTCCACGGAGAATACCGTATTTCACATCAGTAGTACCAAGGAAATTGTAGTTTTCGAAATCCTCGTTATTTCTTTTAAAACTCGGAAGCTGATATTTTAAAATTCGGAAGATCGATATTAACGCATTCCTCGCTCCTTTCGCAGGTTTCAGCACATGTTTTTTTTCTTCAAATTCTATAGGTTTTAAACGAAACGGAAAATTTGAAAACATTTCGATTGTCTTTGATGAATGTAGTAATTGTTCAAGTGCTTGAAGAACTACATAGAGTGCTCCACAGTTTTTGAAACAAAAGTTTTTGAAGATCTTCATCAACCAGCAGTGCTGTGAACTTTTTTCAATATCATCGAGTTTTTAGCTCTGTTCAGCAGACGAGCATGTACTTATAAAGGACCAGCAGCAAAATGGGATTTTCAAAACATTGATTCCTTTTTCAGCACTAAATAACGCAGTCTTAAAATTAAACAAATGTTAAAATTGACGTAAATAAAATTCGATAAAACCTGCTGGAAATTGACCTTTGACGTATGTATCCCACTTCGAAGTTAATTTCAGCATTTTCCCCGTCATTCTGAGAACTATTAAAAATACTCTCATTATGTATAATCATTGCTGATAATTGCATGGTCTCGCAATGGGGTTTGAATAATAAGTTTCGTTTCAGGCGAAATGCGCAATTATACTTTTAAAAAGCTGTCACCCAACGACACTTCTCTTCGATTTTTGGATATTTTCTCCCGCGTTTAAGTCTTGTATTTTTGGATATGAAAGGCGCATGCAGAAACTCGAAGAAGGCAAAATTTAAATCGGAGCACTTTCATATTGCTTTCTCCAACACAGATTATTTTCATATATCAACTACCCATTGCAGTTTCAGCACAATGCTCGTCCGGAATCGACATTTTCAAAAATGTTTCTGTTCCAAAATTTTCAAAAAGCCATTGGACGAATGAGATTTTCTAGTTAATGATTAATTATACAGTACTGCGCACTTGAAGATGGCATATATATACAGTATACAGTAGTGCTGTTTTCTCGGGTTTTGAATGGGTGCATTATTTGCGTGCTGATTCCACGGTAAATGCTCAGCAAATGAACATACATGTTTATTCAACGGGAAAATGAACAGTTTTAGCGAGTTAGCTCGATAATATTCTTGTAACTTGCGCATCGTTTTTATAGTTGAGGATTATCATTGTATCTTTACAGCAGTCTCGTGGATGGATGCTTATGTTTATTCAACGGGAAAATGAACAGTTTTAGCGAGTTAGCTCGATAATATTCTTGTAACTTGCGCATCGTTTTTATAGTTGAGGATTATCATTGTATCGTTACAGCAGTCTCGTGGATGGATGCTTTCATTCGGCATCTTGAAAATTGGATCTCGGATTATTCGGTGAGTTATTTTTGAATCCGCAATCAAGTGCTGTAGAACTACATAATTTTGCTCAGCAACGAGTATGCATGCTTGGAACAATGCATCCTCATAGTAAATCGAGAGAAAGATTGTTTTTTTACGCAAACGTAGTACCAAAGGATCAAGAAGTACATTTTGCATCACATCCGAAGTTGTCCGTATCCTCATTATTGACTTCATTGGGAAATATTTTGCATGAAAACGAGCAGCGAACAAAGATAGAATCGCATGAGCCGTTAATGAAGTACGCGCGCCTATATACAGTATACAGTAGTACTGTTCGTCAGTGCTGGGGCTTGTACTGTACTGGCGATACGCTCAGTTCCGTTGCTCGCCGGTAGATGTCTACGCGGCTGACCGTAGATTTTCACCTAAAATGTTGATATCTCTTGCATGTATGAGCTGAATATTCAATGATTTGAAAAAAGTGTTTGCGCTCCTGTCACATTATAAATATTTCATCAAAGTAGGAGTATCTTAAGGAGTCTATGTCGAAAATTGAGGGAATTATTGAAATATCTTTGGAATGTCGAGCGAGGTAGCGCGTACTTGCGATGTTCAAGTATCTTCTAAAACTGTGATACGTAGTGTAGAACGAAGCCGTCATGTATATTATTTTAACCTTGCTATGTCTCTTCTAATCGTACCGGGGACGCGTTCCTACTGTGCGTTTTAGCACTTCGCAAGGTGTAAAAAAAGGCCAAACTGGGAGACGCAGAAGTTAATGACGGACATTCTTCCAACTATTTTATTCACGATTTTACCGGCGCATCCGAGTTTCAAGGTGAGTTTCAACTGTGTCAGCTGCGATAACTTGATGGCATTCGTTGGAGAAATGCGTACAGTACCTTAAACAAAAGTTCGAATGGCAAGTGTCACGAAGAAAGAGATAGATGGAACCGTATGGCCCACGAAAGTGCTACGATACTTTTTCCGGTGGTAAAATTCATCCCTGAGTCATTTTTACTGTTTCATATTATACTGCAGAACTGTACAGTATTCGTTAGTGCAATTGTTTCGGCCGTTCTCTATTCTCTACATCCACAACTTTCCTCCGACTTTCCAATTATGGACCTCTTTCGCAGCAATTCAGAAAACGAACGAATTGACGGAATGATGTGTTCGTGCAATCTATGCAGCTATAATAAACTGTTGGGAAATTCGGAAAAGAGGTATTGTATATGCAATCAGGGAATTTAGTAGACGCTATACAAGCCAAATTGATGGTCGTTAGTTTTAAACCATAAGAATAAAGACGATTTTCCTCTTTCGTAGCTTTCATCAGAGGTGCGCATACATTCTCGATGATGGAAAATTTAAAAGTGGGTAACATGTCGCTGGTTTTGCTTACACACTCCCTTGTTTTTTTTCCGCGACGTGCCGAACTGCTTCGCTAAAATTGTTTCGTAGTAGCCAACCTAGTTATATTCCGAAATAAATGTACTGTAGTGTATTGTGCGCACAATACAGTACTGTGCCTGTGAAAGTGTCTAACTAAAAAATCTTGGTGATTCCGGCAATTTTAATAACATTTTCCAGGACATCATTATTGCGTTGCTTTAGCAATCCTTACGACACGAACATTCTGTAAACCAAGACCAATCTGATCACTGCGTCTTTCTTTCAAAAATTTCGCAGGAGAAGCCCTGAAGTGTTTGACGGAAATTTGCATCATGACTGTCAAAAATTGAAAAAATGGCGCGCTTTTAAATGCCAGTGACGTCTGTAGACATCGTCACTGACTCTTGGCTGGAAGTATA